CAGGAAGTAGGGGCTCATAATTTAAAAAGAGAGAAACAGACTCTGAGATGAGTCAGAGTGAGCAGACTGGAATTTTATAATAGCTGCTGTGAACATGTTTAAAGACTTGAAGGAAAATGTAAACATGGTGATTGAAGATAGGAGGAATCTCAGCAGAGAAACGGGAACTATGAAAAAGAATGAAGGGAAATTCTAGAATTTAAAAGCACAATGTCCAAAATATTCCCCAGATAGACTTAACAGCACCTTAGAGACTGCAAAAGAAAGGATTGGGAAATAGAGAGAGAGATTAATGGACTACTTAATATGCAAAACCAAGAAATGATTTTTTAAAAAAATAACTAAGCCTCAGTGGCCTGTGTGATAATATATAAACATTTATATAATTATAAACTTAGATATTTAGGTGATATCTAAAAATACTTATAGTTTCAGAGGGTAAGGAGAAAGCTAATGGGAAGAAAAAATATTTGAAGAAATAATGGCTAAAAAGTTCCTATATTTGGCCCTGGTTGGTGTGCCAAATGGTTAGAGCATTGGCCCTTGCACTGGAGGGTCACTGGTTTGATTCCTGGTCAAGGGCATGTACCAGGGGTGCAGATTCGATCCCCCAACCCTAGTGAGGGTGCATGAGGCTCCTCACTCCACCTACCCCCTCCCTTCTACTCTCTCTAAAAATCAATGGAAGAAAATATCCCCGGGTGAAGATTACCAAAAAAAGTTCCTATATTTGGTGAAAAATAAACTACTTATATATCCAAGAGTCTCATCAACTCCACACAGGATAAATACAAAGAAAACAGTACCTATTCACCTTACAAGTCAAGCTGCTGAGAAACCAAAGATAAAGAGAAAACTTAAAAGCAGAGACAAACCTGGGACAACTTGAGTAACCAAATAAATAATGATAGTAAAGGATTATAACTCAGAGAATGAAGTAAATATCCATGTATTTACACTGATAAAAATAAATAGCTGAATTTTAAAATGAGAGAGAAGGGGCAGCTCTTCCTTATTTTGGAATGCCAATTAATAGCTGTAGAAGGAAAAGGGGAAACAGAAAATCACTATTAATCAAACACCACAGTAATTGATTTCAGTCAAGAACCATTGATGGGTGCTAAAATTAGTGGGTGAAAGTATGAAGAGAAATGAGATATTTGCATAGAATTGAAGGATCTTGGGGATATCATGCTAAGCAAAATAAGTCAGACGGGAAGAGTTAAGAACCATATTATTTCACTCATATGTGGCTTATAAAATGGAAAGCAACCAATGAACAAACAAGAAAAACAAACAAAAATTCATAGACACAGACAACAGTATGGTGGTTACCAGAGGGAAGGGAGTGAGGGTAGAAAAGGGTAAAAGAGGTCAAATATATGGTGATGGAAAAGGATTTGACTTTGGGTGGTGGGCACATATGCAATATACAGATGATATATCATAGAATTGTGCACCCTAATAAATGTAATTTTAAAAGTAATTGTCATTCTAATTAATTTTAAAAATGAGGATGAAACAAAGAAAGTTGAATAGTGGATCTTCATTACAAAATTTTCTAATGTGACTTCTTCAGATTGAAGGGAAATAATAGATGGAAACCCAGAACTAGAGGATGAAGTGCAGAGCACAAAAATGATAAATATATGGGTAAATTTAAAGGTTATTTTTTGTCTCCTTATTTAATTTATGTAAGAGGCAACTCTTTAAAGCAAAAATAATATCTTGTGAGTTACTATGTATTTAGAAGTAAGATATATGACATTAATAGTACAGAGGATAGGGTTTTGTCAACAGGATTATACTGTTACTAGAAGCCCTGTGCGAGAAATTGTACGGCTCTGCCCACCCGTGTGCTCCTCGCCAAGCTCACAGCCCCTCCCACCCGCCCGCCTCCCCGCGCGCCTGTTGGCCGCCAGCCTTACTGCCATCAGAGCCTGTGGGTTGCCCAGGAGGGCCCAAGAGGTGCTCCATGCACCTCCTGGTGACCGGTTGTTTGGTCGTTTCAGCGTTACGGCCACTGGCTTTTTATAATGTAGATAAGGTTCTTACATTTTACATGAGATGGTGTAAAACTAATTCTAGGTAGACTATGTATGTTAAGTTCATGGTGCATATTGTAATCCCTAGACACACACACATACACCACAGAGCAGAGGTATAGCTAAAAAGCCAGTAAAAGCATAAAAAGAGAGAATTATCCCAGAAGAAGACAGAAAAGGAGTAACAGTGAAACCAAAAAGATGGAACAAATAATGGATGGTAGATGTAAATGCAGCCATCAATTATGATACTAAATGCATATGCATATGGATATGGACTAGCCCCTTTCTTTCCCTGGGCTGGGAATTGGGCAGGGACTCACCTGCATGGTCCCTGAGATTGAGAACAGAGCTGCAAACTTGCTAGAGCCTTGGCCAGGGCTTAGACTAGGCTGGGGGCTGGGGTAGCATGTTTGCTGGACCAGTGCCCACCCAAGTGGTTGGTGCCAGCAGAGCTAGGTGGAGGAGACACCTAGGTGCCTGGTAGACTGAAAAGAAAAAAATTTTTTATGTGTAATAAGCAAATAAGTAAATACCTAGGCAGAGATGTAATCAGGTCGTGTGACTTGGATTTTGCTCCAGGGGCTATGACAATGCTGTTGAAATGGCTTCTGGCTGATGGTCTCTTCCAGCGAGGGGAGGTATATGGAGCCGGAGCCTCAAAGCCCAGGTTAGGAAGCCCAGGTGTGCTTTGTTGGCTGGCTCCTCCCCTGTCCCCTTGCAAATTGCTAGTGACACTACTGTTGATGTGTGTCACCACTATGTGTATCCTAATGTTTGGGAGGTCTGAGGAGGTTGTGTCCACCTCTACAGAGTGTGGGGCTGGAGGAGGGGCGGATAGCAGATGGGATCACATGAAAGAGAAGACATGTGAGAGATTTTGAAAGATAAGTGGAATTTTCCAGGTGGCAAAAAGGAAGTTAGATTAGTCAGATAGAAAGGCAGGGAATGTTTGAATATATTTAGGAAAGGTATCTTCTTGGGCTAGGGTGGGCAATGAGGCAGAAAATTGAGTCAGGGCCAGTTTTTTAAAAAATAATTCTTTATTGTTGGAAGTATTACATATGTCCCTTTTTTGCTGCATTGACTCCCTCCAGCCCACTTCCCCCTCCTCCCCGAGGCCTTGCAGGGCCAGTTAAAAAAAAAAAAAAAAAAAATATATATATATATATATATATATATATATATATATATATTTCAGAGAGAAAGTGAGAGGGAGAGAGAGATAGAAACATCAATGATGAGATGGAATCATTGACTGGCTGCCTCCTGCACATCCCATCTGACCGGGAATGGAGCCGTGACCTCCTGGTTCATAGGTCAAAGTTCAACCACTGAGCAAGCAACGCCAGCTGGGCGGGTCAGGGCCAGTTTTCAGGCATCTTGTGTCTCAGGAGAGGGAGTAGGGAAGCCCTCGGGCAGCCTGAAGGCCCTCAGGGGAGCCCAGGAGCTGGAGAGATTTCCAGGTCCTCTCTGAGGTCTTAAGCTTTGTTCAGGGCTCCCCATTCCACAGCCTGCACCAGCCCCAGCCACTCCTTGGTGGCCTCCTGCTTCAAGGTGCTATTAGCATTTTACTCTTTGATCTTCCTGAGGTTTCTAGTCCAGGGAAGACCCAGAGATCAAAAGGAAAGACTTGAGGGGGAGGCCTTTGAGGCAAATACGATAAAGCTCCAAAGCCTGTGAGTTTGTTTGGAGAGAGTGCACAGTAGTCCCTCTTTATCCACGGTTTAGCTTCTCGTAGTTTCAGTTACCCGCCATCAAGTGTATAGTCTGATATTAACATTAAATGGCAAATTCACAAAATAATGAATTTGTAAGTTTTAAATTGGGCTCGGTTTTGTGTAGACCCCCACCCCGCTGTCCTGCCAGGAATGTTAGCCATCCCTTTGTCCAGGGTGTATGGTGCTATCCCCCCACTCTTGGTTATCAGATAGATGGTGACAGTATCACAGTGCTTATGTTCAAGTAACTCTTATTTTACTTCATAATAGTGCCAACGTGCAAGAGTGGTGATGCTGGCAATTTGGATGTGTCAAAGAGAAGCCATAAACCCTTCCTTTAATTGAAAAGGTGGATGTACCAGTATATATAGGAAAAAATTTGGTACTATCTGTAGTTATAGGCATCCACTTGGGGTCGTGGAACGTACATCTGGTACGTGTGCATGAGTGTGTGGAACTACTGGACTGTGCCCTGAAATGTTTATCAGATACCTCTATGTGTGAGCAAGTCTCTGTAGATACTTTATGGACATCATTGCTTATACAAGCTTGAGATATGGTTTTGTCCTCAGGAGACTTATAGTCTATCTGAAAGCCAAACCAACGCAAGAAAAATAAAAGTGAATAATAAAGGTCTATACCAGTGCCTGACAGAGTAGGCAGTCAACAGATATTTGCCAACTAAATGAATGAAAGTGTGAATGAGCCCTAACTGGTTTGGCTCAGTGGATAGAGCGTCAGCCTGCGGACTGAAGGGTCCCAGGTTCGATTCCGGTCAAGGGCATGTACCTTGGTTGCGGTCACATCCCCAGTAGTGGGTGCGCAGGAGGCAGGTGGTTGATGTTTCTCATCAATGTTTCTAACTCTCTATCCCTCTCCCTTCCTCTCTGTAAAAATCAATAACATGTATTTAAAAAAGAAAGAAAGAAAGTGTGAATGAATGACTCAAGGTACAGAGGGAGAGTGCAATGCAGGTGAAAGAGAACGACTTGTGGGTTGTCTGAGGAGGTGGGACTAGGTCCGGAGAGGGGCCACATGCTCCTGGCTTTCCTGAGCCTACAAGGGCGCGAGTGTGGGCGCTGGGACCAGGATGTCCGCAGAGGACGTGCCGTGCCCAGGGTCCCGACCGCGCTCGCCGGCGGATCCAGGTGCCGCGAGAGAGGGCGCGGTTTTCCGCCGCCCCCTCTCGGGCTCGGAGACCAGAAAAGGGCCCTCGGGGAGGAAGCGCAAGTCCGCGGCCCGCCCCGTGGCGTCCCACCCACGGCGTCCCCTCCCCTCCAGCTGCGGGAAAAGCGGCCGCGGGCTCTGCTGCTCGCTGTGGGGCGGGCGGGCGCAGCCGAGGCGGAGCGTGGCGGCGGGCGGACGAGATGCGAGCGCAGCCGCTCTGGGCCGCGGCGCTGGTGCTGGGGGCGCTGGCGGGCGTCGGCGTCGGAGGTGAGTGAGGCTCGCGGTGGCGGGAACGCGGCTCCCAGGTGATCCGCACCGGGCATCCCGCCGCAGCCAAGTTTGCAGAGTTGGAGCGGGGAAAGCCGGCCGGCGGGTCCTGCGCGGCTGCTCACAGAGCGAGCGGGGCCGGGCTGGGACCGTCGGAGCC